GATTCTATGATTCTATGAAAATCCCAGCACTGATATAGAGAATGCTCGTATTACTCATTCCGAACTTCGAAATACTCATATTCTATAGGGGGGCGGGTGTGTCTTTTTATATATACGTATGTATATATGTGCATATATGCACATGAATCCTTAATGTTAAATGAATTTTGAGGAGCATACCAAATCACCAAAATTTAGCAAACCATTACAAAATCAATAGCCATATATTGAAAAGAATCAGAGGATTAGAATGGTAACCAAGTTTAGAATGTCTTCTTACAGAATTTGCTCACGCTGCACATGCCTGACACATAACAGTGTTTCAATCCAGTTTCACAAACAACAAGTAGGGTTATAAACGTAAGAATTAACCTGTGTTTGTTATGCATATCATCTTCTTCTCTGTCCATCCTGAAATTGTTACAATGACGGTTTACTTGAATCTTTTTAAATTCACCTGTGTGGATTAATTAATGCAAAATCTTTTAATCAGAAGACTACAGATTGTAACAATTACAGTTGAAGTGTATTACAGTTCAGTGAGCATATAAAACTGCCCTTCACTGAAGAGCCAGCACCAGGGATGCTTTCAGCACTAAGAACAGTTGTTGCAAAACCAAAGACAGAATTAACAGGGGTCTTTCAATTTAACAGCAGAAGTTTAAAACACAGAGAGAGACCCAGACATACTTTTTTTTTAGGACTTCAAAAAAAACCCCCATAATATAGTGTGCTAATAAATATACATTAAAAGATTATAAAATTAATAAAAACTAAATGACAGCAATGAAACATGGGAGATGTTTACATTCCTAAACATTTCATTTATAGTTTTTAAACAGCATTGTAGATAAGCATAAAAGAAAATGCAGCCTTTTGGGATAGGTTTGCAAGTTATTCAAGTAGTCTACTGAAAGGCACCTCTGAGCATTTCTGTTTCAACAGCTAAAATTTAAGTCTCATCTGGAAAAGGATGGCAGTGTAAAACCAAGTATACAAATACAGTTATACAGTTTAAAATTCTTAGTGCATAGAAAAAAAAAAAAAAGCTCTTTGTTCCACTTTCCTTTAAACTGGCACATATGGCTTGTTGTGAGATGTACCTGATCTAATCTGGAGATTGGCACGCTACCTATGGTGGAAGTGTACTATTGTGAAAAGAAACATTACTAGGGAAGCAGAAGAACATTTCTTTTCCATGGCTGCATTCCTGGGGATGTAAGATAGTCAAAACAAACCCAACCGTCATCACTAGCACACCGACAGCAAGAATCAGGCAGGATATGAGGTTATCTGAATGGTTCCATCGCTCTTTGGACAGCCTTAGATAACACGCTGTTGGGATGATAAAAACAAGTGGGGTAGCACTCAGAACTCCCTGTGTGTGGGAAACAACAATAGAAAAAACCCTCATAAGCATGCATACTTAGATGTGAAGAACAAAAACCTAAATTTTTAAATGGTTGTGATTAGATTGATGCAACAGTAAAGCCAGAGAATAGGGGTCTTTTCCAGTGTTGCTATATGGAAAACTTTCTGTTCAAAATCACAAATAACTTGCAAAAATATCTGTAAAACTATTTGAAATAATTCAGATTTATTTAAATGCTTTTGTTTTGCTGATACAGAATAATATTTTATGTTGCAAGTACTACTAAATCCATGTAAGAGTCTAGATATTATACTCCTTTGGGGAAAAAAAAAAAGTGGAAACGTCATGTAGCAGTTCAAAGAATTCTGATCAATTTCTACATTTATGACCTCATTTACATTGACATCCCTATGAAAGCAAAGCTCCCTTTGCAAGAGCAGAACGCCTCTTCGTATTAAAAATTCAGCTCCTCTTTAAACGCTCTCTTAGATAGGTACAGATAAAAAGCACCTGCTTAAATTCTTGTTACAGTAAAGCCACTGCAGATCAATGTACGAGTTACATGCCAAAAGAGAGCAGTTTTATGGAGAAATTCTGAACATTTACTTTGTCACATACTTAACAAACACTATATTTCAACTTAATTATGGTGAGGTAGTAATCCTGAATATCTTTGCATTGTTTGTACAAACTTTTGTATATTTTTATGGTAGAAGATGCTAACAGTGATTAGCACAGACAACAAAAATAGGTACATGCACGAAGTATCTTCTTAGTAAAAACCAAGACTCTTAAATGAAGCAACAGGAACCAGCATCCTCATAAAAGAATAGCACAGCAAAATCTGTGGACCCTTGACTCTCTTACAACTGAACGGTTTCCCTGGGGAATTACTATGGGTAAACACAATGGCTTGTGTTTTGTTTTAAAACCAGAAAGCAGGGAAAAATTAAGTAGAGTCAGAGAAACAGCAGCAAATGCCATTTGTGGTAAGGAGCCAAAAGACAGCTCTTGTGCTGGACAGAAAGCCTGCTGAGAAGGCAGATCGTCTTCGTTTCACATGGAAAGACCCCGCCTATTCATTTTTCTCTACTGGTGGATATCAAGACGGAACAATCTTTCTAAGCACAATGATTACGTCTAATAAATGTGCATTGTCAATTGACTGTATTGTCACATTCCATCTTAAAAAGGAAAAAAGATTAAAAAAAAAAGATGATGCCTGGCTATCAACTTCTATTCATAACTGAATCAAGCTATCGGCTTGACTATTGAGTAATTGCTTTTGAGTGATTATTATAAATTAACTGAATTCCAAATAGGAATCATACATGTTGATTCCTGCTAGAAAGACTCACTGACAGTTTTCTGGTGTAAATTTATTCTTAACATATTATACTATATAATAAATGTAAAACACATATATATACACACACATATATGGGCATACATAATTACGTTCATTATAACGGTACTCAGATATCTGACTGGAATAGGCATGTGTGCACGTACACACACATTTAAATACTTCTGTTGGTTTGTATATACACACAGGTGAATTTTCTGCACTTGTAATGTAAAAACAGAGGGAAGAAGATGGAAAAGAAACTACCAACAGATGCCTTGAATGAGATATTTTAACGGAAACATGCATCCTGACCAAACCAATAGGAATATTGTTTATTTCGAGCTAGTTATAATTTGGAAAGGATTAACTGAGAAAAAAGTACGTAGGCGATTATTTTAAATAGAGGGTAATTAGACAGTTATCTGAATAATCAGACCTGTTCTATAATATTAGTGCAGGCAAGACCTGCTAAATTGCTGCTACAAAAATCACTCATTACTGCCCAGTTAGCAGACAAACTGCACTGTGAAGCAGAACAGTGTACATGTATCATAATGTACATACACATATGTGTATCACATAGCATAAAGAATGACTCCCTCCATTTTGTTCCATCAGTTTTAGGCAAGCATGCAATACATGGCTTGAAATTGTCAATGAGTGCATGGGCAGGGACGCAAGGAGGGAATTCTAAAATATTTCTGTAAAGAAGCACAGGCTGCCCTTGAAAAGTTTTCTCCGCCTTCTAAGTCCTATTTCCTGGAGTATGACATTTCCACATCTGCTATATTTATTAAAAATAGCTGACCTGAAATACAAGGTAAACTCTTTAGATGAACAATGTTTATCATTAATGTAGATTGGATTATTATTTTTTAATTTAATTTTGATTACATTGTACATTCTGTGCCAAAACAAACTGACTTCATCTGGCAAGTCTACTTTGCTAACTACTAGTTTAGGACTCCAGTAGACTACATGGCAGTTGCAGCCAACCAAGAATGTAACATGCATGTGTTAAAACTGGTTCGAGTCAATGAGTGCCTTGTGTGGCCTGCCTGGTAACCTCCATTTCTGCTATGAGGCAATGCCAGACGCAGGAATGTCTACTGGCAAACAAAGCAGTTTCCTCCTAAAAATCATACCCTTTGGCACAAGGCAGTCATTAGGATCTGCTCCAGTGTTTAGTAATTTGCCAAGTTCATCAGAAGCAGAGATTAGAGAAAGACATGCTACATTCAGTCCTGCAATACAGTTCAGTACTTTAGTGACTTCCATTAATTTCCAGTGAATGCAGTTTAAATACGTTTAGGAAGTCATAGTCACTTGCCCTATCTCCAGAACTGTTCTAAAAGTCCTGCCCAACCATGTAAACTTTTCTTCCTGAACTTCCTTTCTCCTTTAATTATCTAATTTTGAAGCAGTGAATAATTCCTTTTTTTCCTACTAACATTTCTACTGACTACTATGTTGAATTATATAAGATCTTCAGTAGAGCTGAGGATTTTTCAGAGTCTTATTTTATACAAAAAGCGATTTATTAAATAATTAGAGTATGCAGGTTCACTTACATTCAGCTCTAAAACTATTCCAAGGCAATCATACGCTAATGATACACCAGTCGCCACAGCAATGATAACTACTGTCACAACAATATGGAAAACTGTTGAGAGGTTCCCATGGAAAAACACATTGGCAATCACCTGAAACAGAACCACAATTTTAAACCTTGATTTTCTTCTTTCTGTTAACAAAAAGTTTATTCTAAATTTTCTAACCTTGGGAAACCAAAGAATCGGTGAGAATACACTGACTGGACTTTACCTATCTTGCTTCAAGAAAACATCTGCATCCGCTTCCAGAAATAACTCATAACACACATTACTAAAATTGCAGAACGCTTGCAATCCTGACTGAGCTATATCTGCAGGATTTAGGGTATTCCTACTCTCGTCTCATATGTCCACTACAGATTAAAAACCACTTACAATTATTTATTGAACTGATGGATTTCCTAGATGGAGATACTTTCACAAAGGGAAAACAGTAAGCATGGCAAATATGCTATAGTTGGCTATTCTCAACATAACAACAATTACATTCATGCTAAACTTGGAATTTTAAGCATTCTTGACATTATTAAGTGATTATTAACATAATATCAGATAATATTATAATACATGTAATACAATATTACATTGCTAGAATCTAAACAGCACGACTAGTTCCTCATACTCATTGCATGCAGCAGGATAGGATATGCTGATATTTATTACAGCTTAAACATTGACTGCAGCTACAACATCTATTAATAACATGAGAACATTATTAATATATAACACCACTGTTAAAGGGAGAATGTAATAAATTCTTACCTCTCTGGTCACAAAACATTCAAGGGGGAAGGTCAGTATTACAGTGACTCCATAACAAAACCTTCCAAATGTAGCAAGGTTGTCATCTCTACAGTAGTTTTCAAATATATCTCCTGAGGCACAGCGAAACACCAATTAGTCTGAACTTCATGTCATTTGCTTATTTGCAAATTGAAGCGTAAGTTCCTGCAGTAATTGAGACTTTCTGAACCCCTCTCCTGACACATCTCAAGAAATTGTAGTTACAGTCACAAATTACATCCAGGAGGAACTTTCACTCTATCCTGCTAGTAGCAGTGTTTTTATTTCAAGTAGCATTTATCTTTCAAAAATATTTTAACATATAAACGTTAAAGTTTGTCATCTGTCGTCTTCCCCTTAGCATAGATTTTGTATGAGATGCTCGTGTTTGTTTAAATAAACGTGACAAACTCAGAAAAAGAGCTTGTATATAGAAGATATGTTTCCTTTAAACATGTAATTCCTAGAACAACAACAATTACAGAAGGAAGACCAGGGAGCTACCACTGAAGAACTGCATTTCCCTGCTACTATCTAATCATAGTTGGTAAGCTGCAGAGAAGAATTTCAAATATTCGGACCCTAAATGCTCATTATAAATATATGGATTATTATGTAGCAAATCTTCTTGCATCTAACAACAAAAGCATTGCTAAAGATTTCAAATCATCATCTTGCTTAGTGTTTACCACAGAGAAACTGGAAAAATGATCTCTGAGGCAAAAGAGACACTGTAAGACAGTGATCAGATGATCTACCAGGTCTTTTCTGCTAGATTACTATACTGTCTTATGATTTACTACTTTTAGGATCAGGATGGCACTGAAGAAGCAATAACGTGTACTTCAGAGAAAACAGCCAAAAGATTTTGAGAAAGGAGACGGAAGGTAAGATGGAACCTGCTTACACTACAGTCATATGCCGAGGAATAGCTGCGGTCAGAGCTTTCTACACTTGAAATATCTCAGCCAGTTAGCTGTTGCATCTAGGACAGTAAGTTATTCTGCATAAACAGCACTGGAGGCAGGAAAAAAGGAGGACAGATCAACCAGTAACCCCTATCCTACAATTCACCTGTTCTCAACTACATGCTGCTGCTCATCAGGAAAGGAAAAAGCTTGGAAGCTTTCTCCTACAATTTGGAACAGTACTATTAAATAACAGAAAATCTGCTTGCTTATGAAATATGATTTTTTTCCTGAAGAAGCTAACGCACTGGACAAATCTATGCCTTGTTTTTCTGAAAACATCTTTTCCACTTCAACAAAATGATGTTAAATAGTACGATGTAACATTGATTATATGTATTTATACCTGTATGTATAGCCATATGCACACAGAGGTGACAGTAGGATTAGTTACAGCAGAACAGCTGTTGTAAAGACAGGAAATATCTCTAATTCAGAGCTAGAATGTTCTATTAGCACAGACAGGAAAAGATACAGGAGAATGTACAGAAATATATGTCAGGCACCCTGTAGAAAAATCAAGGCACCTTTTGTTCTTACTCCTGTCTGCCTGTGGACCATGTGGCTAAGTTATAGATGTTTAGTTCTCAGAAGTATTCTGGTTATGGAAGTATTCAAAGTGGGCTTTCACAGGTGAGGTTTACACTTGGGAATCTGACACCAATTAGCTCATAGCTGACATCTTTGTATCCTGTTTTGGTTGTTGGGTAACTACAAGGAATGTCCTAACTATTTCTGTCCAAACATAGTATGATTTTGGCATTTTGCAATCACTGATATATTAACAGCAAAATCAGACAGAAAGGTGGAAATGTAAGGATTACAGCAAGCACCAAAATTGAGGGATTGAACAGTTTACCTTCTGTGTATCCTGTAAAAGTGATATATCCACATGCAGCGAACACTACACTGATAACAACAGCAAATGAGACAGACACATGTGTGACTCGAGACCAGTTCTTTAATGTGGGTTCTTCTAGAGACCCATATATTAGAAAGCTGTTATGGTTGCAGATGAATGCTGAAACACACATAACAGTTAAAACAAATGCATGAATTGATGCATATATGCATATAAAATAAATGCAAAGAGTGTATAGTCCAAGGGAGGTGAGACACAGCACAGTTTGAATTCACTCTTTAATAACTACAAACATTAATCCTGCGACAAAAAGAAATGTGGCAAATCCTGTGGCAAAGAGAAATGGTTTGAACTTTTACTTACTTATTTGATTTGATGGTTTATATTCATCCTGAGATGATTCTGATTACATTACTCTAAAACGCCACACTATTTCCTACCCGCCCCACCCTCATTCCATCTCTATTTCCTCTTCCTGTTCTTTTGCTTAAGAACTCAACAGCAGTTTCGAGAATTTTTTTTTTAATCCTCAGAGCCATTTGCTACTTTCAGACTTCCTATGACATACTTTTTAGGCAGCAACAAGCAATGGGAGGCCTCAGATTATCACAGCATTAAAAAGAAGTAAATATAGCAGATCCTCCACAAAGAAATAGTCTTCAGGATGAGGATAATGGAGATGAGTTGAGACTCACCTGAATGGTTCATTGTGAGAAATGGGAAGCAACAGACACTCTCTAGTGAATGTATGCATTGCAGTTTAACATTTTTCTGTTAGAGATTATCCAAGAGAATACAGAATGATCACAGCCTCCTCAGTTTATCAGTTAGTCTAACCCTGTCGGTGCAAGTGTTTTAAGACCACCTGGACAGTTGAGCTGGACTCACATGTCACACTGCTGTCTCTGCTACATTGGCAACAGCTTCTCGGGCCAGGCAGGCAAAGGATGGGGATAATGTCTTAAACCACAACAATTAAATTCACCTATGGATGACTCAAAGTCAATTTCATTTTTTTATAAAACAGTGTAACATGAATACAAAAAAAATACAATTCAAAATACGCAATTTCTAGGTCCAAAATATTAAATAATTTGTTACAGTTGATCTGAATATTGAAAATACAAAAAAAAGTTACTTACCAAATGACATTACCCCAACGGCTTGTACTGCATTTGGTTTTGCAAATATCCATGCATTTTCTGATTTGGGTCTAAAACAGACATTTGTTTTAATAGATCATCCTCTTTTCAACTATCAGTTATTAAAAGTATTTTAAAATACTATGCTGTAATACAGAACTGCTAGTCAGATCTCCAGCACTCTCTGAAGTAGGCCACAGTGTTCATCAACAGTAAGTTGAAACTATGGAGACACCCTTCTCACCTACCTTGTTTTGATTAAAGTATTTCTGTAACCAGTTTTTACAGCCAAAAACGTCAGCCTGTTTCACTGACCAGTTTTGTAAATAAACTCAAGTCATCATACAGCAAGAAACAGTAACAGGGAAGGTAAAAGCTGTTACTGATTCTCACTAAGGTTATCTCAACCCAAAATCTCTTCTGACTATTTAGAGGCAATTTATTCCTTTGAACTTGTACATATAATCCATGCAGTCTAGAGATACTTTTTTTCCTAGGCTACAAATCAAGTGAGGTAGCTTGCCTTTCTTTACACCTGTTCCAAATATTCTTCATAGTAAAGGGATTCTGCTAGTTCCCAAAGAAGTGATAAAATAAAGTGTAAGAGAGTATATGGAAATTTTTATAATCAGGCAAGAATGTAATCTCCCCCACATCTGCTCCTCTAAGATATGCCCACAATTCTGGACCTGTGGTAATTTTAAGTCTTAGAGAAAACCAGAAAATCATCAGCAAACTTTGTTAAAATCCATTTGATGCACCAACTTCCTCTCCAAATAAAGAAACAAAATGAAGGGAGCACACAAAACATCCTTTTACAGAACTACAATTTACTAAAAATCTCAAACAAAATTCACAAGCCAGTTGAACATCATATTTGTAATATTAAAGCACAGACAAAGGAATAGCACAGAGAAGCTTGCTCTTAAAAAGTTGGCTGCTGCTAACTTTGATTGCTCTGTTTCTATTTAGGGGGAAAGCTGCTGCCACCTGAGGCCTTAGCTGCTGAGGTCTACTGCCCTAGAAAGCAGTATGGCACTCACACCAGTTCTCTGAGGTACCAATGCAGCTTTGTCTCTCCCTCTATCTGGTGATAATTAGCTGTTTTTGACAGCCACAGCGGCATATGCTGTGCTAGGTTTCATTGCTTTCAAATGTTGAAACTCCACTCCCATGTCCTAAAAGGAAAAAGATGACAAAAAGGATGTTGCTGTTTCTCCTTTCAGAACTCGTATCTTACTAATTCTTGAGAGCTCAAATAGTCAATCCTTTCTTTTCTGTATTAACAAACAGATTTACAGCATCTAATGCACATTCAGTTCAGACTTAGAGCATCTTTTCAGTTCTTAAACTGTGGTTGCTAAGCTTAACTTTGAAGTGAACAGAACCCGAGCATCAAAATCAAGTTCAGTTTTCTGTCCTTAGATGCAGTATATTGTTTTGAATATATAAATACTGCTTCTGAATATATAAAATATATAAATACTGCTTTGAATATATAAAATACTGCTTCTAGTCTTAAGCAGCTGAATATGGCCCTCCTAAAATATTCTCAGACTCAAGATGTAGATAGAACAAATACCATGAATGAAACAGAGATATCTGACACTGCCTTCTGAAACAGGAGTTCTGACCCACTGTAGCTGCTGTTTCTTATATAGAGTAGCCTCCCTTAATTTGATGCCACTGATTTCAAATCTGATTAGAAAAAAAAATCAATAATATTCCAAAATAAAAACACAATATAGAAAGATAACATTACAACTATCCCGTTGTGTAACCACTAGAGGTCAGTTTTGATATCAAATGTACAGAATGAAAATTTGACAACAGAATTTGTGAAAGTCTCCTTACCCTCTTTTCTATTAATACTTAATACATAGATTATCTAATACTCTATAAGCCAAAGTATTTTAAAAATGCATGGAAATAAATAATGCTTTTGTTTGACATATCTATTTTCTGTGAAAATGGTACATCCTGTGCAACCGTATAGCTATATTATAAGCTCTTTTAAATAGGGATTTAAAAAATGGAACATAGAAAGCATGTGAATTTCATTTGAAACATTTTGAATAAAGTAGCCAAATAATCTAAAAAAAAAAAAATTAAAAAAATCACAAGAGCCAATTTTCCCCCTGCAGTGTTAGCTTATGCACCAGCAATATGCAACAGACCAATGTATAGCTCTGCTTTATGGGTGAATAACAAATCAGATTAGGAGTATTATTTGGGGAAAAAAATCCAAAAGAACAAAATCCTGCTTATTTAGCACCATAAGAAGATAAATTCCTTCCATTCTAGTTGCAGAATGCAGGAAAAATTGCAGATCCATTATTTGAACACTACCAGCTGATTGCAATGTCATACTATGCACATTGGTACATACATATGCCACAGTACATGACTATTTCTTACAGGAAGTCATACCCTGCTGCACGTGTTGTGAAAAACATTTTCATACCTTGGGAATAGAAGATCTCATACATATGCCACAGTACATGACTATTTCTTACAGGAAGTCATACCCTGCTGCACGTGTTGTGAAAAACATTTTCATACCTTGGGAATAGAAGGATCTCACAGAGATGTGACAGGTAAACTAAGAAGTGAAAGCAATACAGTAACAAATCTCATTTCTGAGTGTTTGGAACTGAGTCAATAGCTCTAGAGTTCTGATCATATCAGCAACAAATCACACTCAAACCCAATCTGCAGGAGATACAGACTTATGCAAAGCTCCTGGAAAAGGGCGCTGGTGACACGAAAGTGTCTATATAAAATAAGACTTCAGACTGGGAAAGAAAATTGTTTAAGGAAATAGTAGCTGTCAGTTACAGAAGAGCTACACAGTGAATAATCACTTAAAATTACTCACAAGACAAAGGGCGTCTGATGGAAACATCAAGTGTCAAGGTAGACATACATGCATTCATATAAATACATGCATCTGTGTAGGCAGATGCATACATAGGCTGAAAAAGTCCATAATTAGAATACCAGGTAATACTATACCTGTTCTGCTTTTTCAATCCTGCTGCTACTGTTCAAACTGTATGTTATGTTTGTTTGTTTTTGAGAAGGACCTCTGTTCTGACCAGTTTGGTCTACGTTCTTGTTAGGGAAGATTTTAACTGCTGCTCATGCAAGAATAGCAGTAGATGCGAATATGCATGTGTGACAAAACCAGCTACCTTACTTCTCCTCACTCAGTGTATAAAAACACAGGCTATGTCTGCATGAACACAAAGGTCTTTTCATGCTGGAGAAGAAGTAGTAGTTAGATGAAACACAATGAAATTTAACAGAAAAAAATAATCATCTGTGATACTAAATGCATTTGTTGAGAGCTGTACTGTCTATTACAGATAGTAGAAGTTGCAATACAAAATAAAAGCTGAGAGGTAATATAACTGTGATTCTTGGAACAAAAATAATAGAAGATTGAACAAAAAGACATTCTAAGGGAGATCCCAGACAGGAAGAAGTCTCAGCTGAAAGCAAAGACAACAAGACAGACTGACAATAAGGTCTGTAGAATGGCAGTGATGCCAAGTGATGAAGAAAGTCTAGAGGTTAAGAAAATAAGACTTGGTCTTCAGTATGCTTAAGGGAAAGTATAGCATAATAAACATGCTAGTGAGTTTTTAAAAAAAATTGAAAATATTTGTGTTTATCTACATAAGAACAAGGGAAAATGAAAAGAACAAATGAACCAGGCAAATGTTAAGACCTTCCAGTGGCGTAAAAGGCATTTCACATACGGATCATGAGTAAGAGTTGGGCAAATTTGTTCAGCAGTCTAAACCAGCATCTCTTCTACCTCTTGTAAAACATTCACAGTATAACATTGTCCATCTTAAGATCCATGCTATGCAAAAATATTTTCTGTCATTTATGTAGAAATGTTGCCAAATACAATACAGCAGCAGAGTACATCAGAAAAAAATATCTTTAAGGAGGGCAAGAGAAATATACGTCCCTGATCTCAACCCAGCTTGTAGTTATGAAACACTGACTGAAAAAAAGAAAGGTTGCGGAAACACATTGCGGAAAGTTTCTAGGAGAGATAATATTCTCTGTTGTCCAAATAACAGATATAATTTGGAACTAGAATGTGAATCGCATTTATGTAAAGAGACAGGTTTATCATTCCCAGATAATCTTCTCTCAAAGAGAAGAATCATTACTTTGAAAAACCTAATGGCAAGTGAAAAATGATTACTACTCAGACAATAATTATCAAAGTGAGACAATACCTGAACGGGATTTCATGGAACCTAACCTGAGTCTAGCACTTTTGAATGTATTCAGCAGTAACTTGAAATATGGAATAAAAAGTAAGAAGTATCCTTAACAGAAAGCATGAAACGTGCAGTTAATATAAGCATGTTAGAGAACAAGGTAAAAAAAGAAAAATCATAAATATGTTGGTAAATAAAGAAATCATCTGACAAAGCAGTACTGAATTCTGTAATGACAAATTCTACAGTTATGAAAGGGAAAAAAGGCTTCACAAGAATAGGGCAAGGGGCAACAAGGGAAAAACCCCAAATTTCACGAGAACACAGTAGAAGAAATGAAATATTGCCAGCTTACAGTTTTGCACAGAAAGGCTTGATGGATCTGTTAGACTGCAAACTCAAGGCATATCCACAAAGTCATGCTATTTTCCAAAGAGGCAAACATCAAACGAGGTCACATAAACAGGAGCGTGGCCATCTCCAAAAAATGGAGTTGAAAGGGACCTCAAGATGCTGTGCATGTAAGATCCATAAATCTTTCTTCTCTGCTCCTCAACAGAAATACCATAGGCAGCTGGGGCACCATGGTATCACTTTAATTTACAGAGAACTTAAGGTAGCCATTGAGAATGATCAGTAGCACAGGAAACAACAAGAGAAACACTAAAGGAACTCTGTTGAGTCTATAGGAAGAGTCACCAAAGGGGGACAAGTTACAGCTCTTTACAGGTGTTTTTTGAGCACTTGAAAAAGAATGAAAGAAGTTTGCTGTCCATATCCACTGCGGTTTGGCCAAGAAGCAATCAACATGAAATACAGTAAGAGAGATATACAATACACATTTAGGAAGAATTCATTAGAAAAGGCAAGTTAACTGGAATGGGAAATGACGGAATTGTCAAGAACAAACTAGACATCAATGATAAGCATACAATCAGTTCTGCTGTGTAACAATGGCAAAGATTAAATATTCTCTCTCGGCCCCATCAAGCCTTTACCTAGGATTTGCAAATTCTTTTCCTGTATGACAGATTTGAGGACTATGTTTCATAATCATGACTTTTAAAAATCTCTTTGAAAACTTCAACTTTTATTTTAATAAGGGCTCAGAGTAAATGCATTATTTGTTTCACTTGTTGTAAGACTATGACAGGACCATATTGCAATATATTAGTGTTCTTTATTCTCATTGCAGAAAAAGAGATGGCATATGTTATACCATTAACAAAATGTTTGGAGAGGGTTTTAATAACTAAAGTATACGTCTATTTCTAACTGGAAAATACAAACAGTAAAAATAGATATTGATAGAATGTTTGTGAGGCAAAAAATTCTGATTAATTGTTTATCAACTTGCTAGATGCATTTTTGAAAACAAGAAGTGTAAAGGCAAAAATGGAAGTATTTCAAGAACTAAAAAGTAAAACTTCAAGAATAACTCAAAATGTAACATTACTTATTGTGAGAAAAATCAACCCATGCATTCCATGATTTTCAGTGCATCACCAACTGTTGAGAAGAAACGTTACCATAGTAACAAGGTCATCAGTAACCATTATATATAGTGTCTTCCTTTTTTGACAGGGGATTTTGAGATCACCCTTTCAATATCCCTTTAACACATAGCATGAAAAACATGCTGCTTCAGAAAGATGGGAGGGGGGGAAGTCCCACACTGTTCTGAGTGCATCATTTTATGGATGATAGACAACACCATCTGGTACAACTTTAGAAACTACTATCCTAGCCATCTTCCTAGCATTAAACACTGAATGCCCTGCAATTAACCCAGCTATCACAGCAATAAGACAAACGAACAATGCTGCATAACACTACTGAAACAATCATGATGGAAGAATCCACTTCTTACAGAAACATTAGAAATACCATATAAAACTATTCCAAAAAACAAAAAAGCACATTCCGAAATAGAGTTTGTCATCTTTTTTAATATATCTTCAAATTTAAAAGATAAAGAAAAAGGCAGACCTTCTAGGCCATAAAGGAAAGATAACAGATTCATAACACTTTCTCGCAATCTAATTATAAAAATATTGCCACAACACACATTCATATGTACTGAATTGTCCAGCACACTCCCATGTCCAATGTTAAATACTACTTTCAGATTATGAGTGCTGGAAAATGGTTTTGCATACTTACATTGTTGTTTTCTCAAATGACAGCGTAAAGTTTTTATTAGTGTCATCTTTTTTCTTTCCATTATTTGTATTCAATTTTTATGATGAAATCATTATATTAACAGAAAAAAAAATATTCCTAAGATACTATCTATTTTAAGATTGTAAATACAGGCCATCCGACAACAACGAACAAAATTAAACATTTCTCTGATGACAGACAACCTCATGTGTTCATTCAGGAGCCACCTGCTATTAGCCATATCACCTTCAATTTCCAATTAATCTGTAGTTTTTTTTAAGACTTTTTCTAAATTTTCTTATATGCAATAGAAAAAAAGGATAAAATATGTTTTAGCAGTTCATTTTGTATTACTGTTCATACAGATTTTTTTTTTCAATTATCAGTCTCTCCCAAAACAGCCATGTTCCAAAACTATGTAGATATATGTAATAGTGAAATAACAGATTACATATGACCAAAAATTCACCTTGTGGCAAGTGTAAGAATACTCACACTTGTGGACCGAATGTTACTGTTCTCACCATCACAATAATCAGGATGACAATGGTTAAAATTAGAGAAATAAGAGATACCTGTAAAGGTAAATACACAAATTCAGTTAGTAAGTTGCTGAAAGTTTGTCCTTTTAGCAGCATAATGTACTTTTTTTTTTTTTTAGAATAATTAACAACCAAGTGAAGTTGTAAATATCACGTCAAATAATAATTAGAAAGCTTTAATTTGTTATTCTTTCTGAGTAACTAGCCAATTGGAATTATTCATCTAATTTTAAGCGATATTCTCATTTAAAAATTTCTAGTCAACAGTGCTCAGCATTTCAAGATCAGGCCTCTATCACCTAGTGCTTTACAAGATTTGAGTTAAACTAGCAGTAGACGGAAAAATTCCAACGATTCACACGGAGACCAAAGTTTTGCTTAAACTACCAAAAAACTTGGAATAGTCTGAACTTCTAAAATGTTTAACATGCTCTAGCCAGATGTAATCGATTTCAAACACACTAAGTCATGACTGGCACTTATTTTCTAATGGCATGCAGAAAAGCAAACCAGAAATCAACTGCTATTATGATTTACCTTTCCCAGTTTTGCTATGTCTCGATATAAAGATATAGGCAAGGTAAAGATGACGGTGGTAAGAAGAATTATGAAGTGACGGTCAGTAAGCACATTATCTGGTCCAACTAAAGCAAAAAAGAAAATAATTTATTTTTCTAAGAGACCAACATAAGGAACAGATTAGTTACATTTGAAGGGCTAGAAGCAACAAACTCTGATGGTGACCAGGGTTTTATTCCCTTTATTCAAGCTAAGCAATACTGAAATAAAGACTAGGTATTAACTAACTTTGAGGAAGCCATATGCAGCATGTGCATAATCACAAGAATTACGCAAATTCAAACCAAATGCATAACATATGGGATATATTATACCAAACTTTGAAAGTCTGGCATTTCTACATACAGATTAGTATTAATTTCTTTCATCATGCTTGGGTCAATGTTAGACTACAAGTAAAACATTCTACTACTTCTTTCTGCCATTTACTCTTCAGGATTTTTTGACACTGTGTGTTGACATCAATTAATGTGCTGTTGAAGATAAGCAAATTCTTAAAGAATTATCCTAAAAGAAGACCATTTTAAGTTTGGGGTTTTTTTTTAACATCTCCTTTCTTGCTGTCAGCTGGCTTCCATTTGCGAAATACAGATTACCATGTGAAGGCAACAATAACATTATAATATTCCCTACAATCAACGGGATTTATTTGTACAACTGGTGTTTTTTTCAAGCCAATGACAACTTAAAATAAAACACATCTCAGTTTCAGTCAGACTACCATGAATCATGGGCTTGAATGAAAGTTTGCTGAATAATTACGGCTGGAAAGTGACTGACAATTGTCATGGAAAGTCTGTGACCAGTTCCTTCTATTCTTTGAGAGATTATAATGCTTTCCCTTCTCTTTCCAGGCAGGCATTCTACCAGCCAGGTGAAGAGATGTGCCATGCTGGAGGTTCCTCCTATTACAGAAGTCATAGAGTATACAAATTATTAGGATATTCCCTGTCACTATCAACGTGATCAGGTATTCACAGAAAAACAGAGTGTGACAGTTAAAACTGCATCCACACCTTGCAGGCTTCACCTGCTAAAAATTATAGTCCTCCTGTGGAAATCAAAGAGTTTATACAAATATTCATTTCCACTTCAATGCAAACGTTGTTTTTAGTATAATTTGCCAGTGAAGAATGTTTTAACTTAGCCAGCTTTGTGCTAAAGTAGATGGCAAACATACACGCAAATTGCTCCTCTGATTCTGCTGTGAAAACTTAGAGCAGAGGAAGGGTAACAAGTGCATAAGTTAAGAAGTTCAAAATGCCACATCTGCTTTTGCAGTGAATATCCAAGAGAACTGGAAGTGCCATATGCAGTTCATGGCCAACTATTACAGAGATGCCTAAGTAAGCATTAAATCCATTATATTATTTACAAGTCATGCAGAATTATTCACTAGATGAACTGCAGTTTCAGTATTCAAATGATCATCGTAGGAAATATCTAAAAAAGACGACAATATATGATGACCTTGTAAATATACCACTGTGGAGGACTCCTTCTATTTGCTCAGTATTTCATTGACACCTGTGGTCTTTTCACTCACATCAAGTCCAATGATAACCAAGGACTAGGATTCAGTTTTTATTTGAGAAAGACTTATGAAAAAATAAACCTTCAAAAAACCACTTATACAAATACACTTCAAGTTCTTAACTTGAACTATATTTAAGAGTGATTTAGAAGAAAAGTAACAGGTAGGACTTCAGAATGACACGGACGCTAATCCCTAATACTAATACTATATTCCTATCCAATACATTTTCCCTCTTCTGAATTTTTAAATCCATCTTACCTGCAGGAATTCTCTGAAAAACTTTAGTCAAAGTATCTCCTGTTATTATGTTGTAACTGATCATAGCTTAAAGAAAATAAAATTTTTGTTAGTACAAGTTGAATATGAAATATTTGATAAACACTTGATACACATATTTTGTAGACATTGGGATTATGTGCCTCTGTCCCTCTTGTATGAATCCTGGCTAGCACCAACAACCTCTAAATTTCAGGTTTAAAACAAAACTAAAAAAATTACTTTACTTTTTTTTTAAACAGGTAAAACCTAAGCAGGAATCCAGTCTGATAAGAAAGGTTGTTGTGCTGACTTGCTATGTAAACTTACTTCAGAAGAGGAAATAAAGGCTTTTTAAAATTCTTTGTTTCTAACAGCAATTCTTTGGCAGTTTATTTTCAAATTCTTGTTTCTATCTAGTAAAGTTCCTGTGTTAGCCCTGCAATCAAATGCATAGGACTTTCTAGCTCATGTAAAAAGTTAGCAAAATCTTTAAAAAAGAAGAAAGGAGGAGAAAATAGATAAAGATATCAGATATGGAATTCCATTCCTTTCTCTCATTAATATGAACTGTGGCCTTAACATTCATATTTCATTCTTATCTTTTTCTACACTAGAAATGTGTATATGTGTGCATGTGTGTGTATACATACACAGTAAATACATGTATATACTCAAGTGGTCTTCAACATTTAGACAGTATACATACAGGTATTGACCTGAACTAATGCATAATTATTTGCTGTTGTGAAATTGTAAGTCATTAACACTACTTATAGAAATAAATTTAAGCACATACACATGCATAACTAGTTCCATGGTAAGGACTGAGATCTTTACAATTCTTTTCCATATTCTCTATGAAGTAGTAATTATACTCTTTTTTAAGTCAACACGTGTAACATTTTTGCCTGCAGCAACAGTAACTTGACTCTTAAAAATCTCAGCTACCTGTAATAAATTCAGACTGATTGCTCTCAAAGTAAGAATTTTGATCTGGGACTCTGTGGTTACCAAGTCCAGACTTGATATCTCAAGTCACCACCCCTTGCAGCCCCATCTGTGAAAATATCACATTTATTTATGATTTGACTTAATTATGTTACTACCGTAGGTGACAGATGCAGAATATCACTCCATTTTAAACTTCTGGTCTAACTATTTCCTGCCCAGATTATACCTGTTTGTTCTTCTACTACTTCTTCTTCAAAGGGGTCTTGACTGCTCGGTTTCCTAGTAGCTCATAGGGTATGAGGCTGAATTAATGCTTTTGAAAAGCAATGACAGCACATAATATTCAAGCAAGATCTGATCAGTGGCTTCTCCAATGAGAGTAGTACTACATCTTTGGAAAAAATATGAATTCAATATACTCCTAAAGTCATGTTTTCTTTTAATTTCAGGCACAACAAATCTGTGTTCCCTTACTCATTTCAGAACAGAATCTCTTCTTTGCTATTTCTCTCTTACTTTTGTCATTAATTTTTACGCTCGTGATCATGAATTTCTCAGCTATTACATGTCAGTTAATTTCTATTATTCTGGTTCTCCAATTCACTGAATTTTTCCTCAGTCACCCTTTAGAATACAAGAAGTAATTTTTAATTTTTTTTTTTTAACTAGGAAAGAGGTATATACAATATATTCTTTACAGAGTTGTTATTATTTAACCAGTGAAAGAATGAGGTAACATGAAAAAGCTTGTTTTTTATAGAACTTAAATATTTATATTTTATGTGATCTTACCAATAAATGGATATAAAAACTGAAGAGTTGAAAGAATTAGATAACCTACAAGACCATATGTTTTTCTGACCAGCTCTTGATAGGTGTTGGTACTGGAGAAGTTTCCTCCTTTGATCAGTAATATAATGGAAAAATCTGTTAAAATATAAAATTACTGTTAAAGACAGTATGAACCAATTGTGGTTGGTTACTGCTCATGTTTTTCACCCCTTAAAAAAAAAAGTCTGTAAAAAGGAAAACAGTGGCACTAGGAAGAGCAGGGATAAGAAATCTCACAAAAATATCTCAATCCACCTGAACCAGGAGTTCATATTGGAAGAAAATTGCTCATATTGGAAGAAAATTGCAGCTTTCCTGAACAGGAATAGTAGAAACTGACTCATTCTCGTTGGTTTCCAGTATGGTCAAAGGGAATAAGAAATGTCATAAGCACCAGAAAAGGAAAATTCAATTAATAATGCAGAGGGCTCCTGAATGGGTGGAGTATTTGATCATACCCTGAACGTGGGTAAAATGCGAGGACTGCCTGTGTCATGGTGCTAAACACTCAATCACTTTACTTAGCTATTTATCTAAGTTTGTGAAAGATAAAGCCTGGTTAGGATATTTCTACCATTTGTTAATGTGAAAGCCAATCCAGAGATTCCCATGAGCATATGCAATACTTTCACAACGCATACTCACATTGTAATTGAGAGCAGACAAAAGCACAGATACAAAAGTGTTCATTATCAATTATGTTGCATACTGAGCTGATTTTGATTTATCTTACAATAAATACTAAGTCTTTTTAGAAAGGGATCTTTGACTCACAAAACTTGAAAAAGATTTACTGTTAAACGACCCAAAAAATGTATTTGCCTGTCAATCTAGGACTATACCCATTATAGCTCAAAAACACGCCCTAAAATGAAATATAGGGAGAACTGCTAACTAACAGCTATTCACCAACTGTTCGGTAAAAACTATGGAAAATAAATGCTAATGTTACATACTTAGCCTGTACTTTAAATGCTACAAGTCAAAAAGTTGTAACTATAGTTACAATTCGCTTGTGCAAGATATATTGAGCCACATCTTTAACATAATAAAATGCTGAGTTTAATTCACATATTCTGGGCCTATGGCTGTGAAGTCTTCAAAATACTTCAAAATGCAAAGGACAAATCAGATTTCCTACAGACAAGGAACTGAAATTTCTGAGCTATGTTTCTGATATGATTTCATTAATGTATTTTGCCATCAGCCATAGAGAAAATTTTCCACTCATAAGGAACACATTCCTTATGTTACATTGCTCTCCAGTCAAATCTAAAATCATTTATGCAGACCCTTAAATGATAACACAATAAATGATCAAGCAATGAAAAGCATCAACATCTGCTCAGCATATGGGTAACAGAATTTGTGCCATTCATGTTGACTTAGTTTGTCATTTTAAGACTTGAATCCACAGAGGCTTTCAAAAAAATTATCCTTTGATCTCAATGGATTTACTTATGTTTGAGTTTATTCACCATGTGATTTCAAAACTTGTCCCTTTTTGAAGGTAAATCCATTATTTTTTTAATTAATGGTAGTTAAATAAAATATTAAAAATCATAGTACAACCAAAGGTTTTCATTCTGTGGTATATTCTAAAAAAGTGATATACAACCCACCCAAGGATCAGTCTCTTAATAAGGGTAAAAACAGTGGACTAAACCAGGTGATTATGAGGCACAAATAAGAGCTATTCTTCCAAATGTCACCTTGACCTAGTCTAAGAAACTAGGCTTTAGGAAAATAAAACACACACAAAAAGCAGCTTTATATGTTGTACCGTATAATTCTCTACTTCTACTAATCTGCTCAAGGAATTAGTGAGGTAAGGAAAAAATTTGTCATTTTTATTGTCATAGATATGCTTTTTTAAAGTATCATTAAGCTCAAGATCAGCTAAAAGTTGCAAGACTAATTTTCATTTTACAATAGAAACCGCTCTTGGGTTACCTGTGATATAAGCGACCCCAAATAAAAGCAGTACTCCTAGTGGAAAACCAGCCTCCTTCATTGAATATGGTAATCCTGTAAATAAGAAAAGGAGAGATTATAGAAGAACCTTTCCAAAGACTCATTTGTGACAACCAAAACAAAGAAATATTCAGATTTAAAAATATGCTACCTATCTCCCAAACTGGACCGGCATGCTTAGTAACCTCAAAACCATCATTTTTAGTGGGCAGTGTTGCCTAGGTGCGAAGTTCATCAGCACCTGCGCAACCAGTTCTCTCTGATCATTACGGCAAAGAGGCTGTAGAGTATTTATCATGGTGAGACGCCATCTCAGCTGACACTTCTGCATTTTTGCATAGTAAGCAAATAAAAATAGAGAAAAATCTTGGCGGAACAGCAGCAGAAAGCAAGACAACAATGTTATTCTCCAAACTGGAAAGTCATGCATGTGTAAACAAGGCTGAACACAAGATAGTGAAGAAAAGTATACTTACCTATAATGCCTGATCCTATGATAGAGTTGATAATGTTAAATCCAGCTGATGCCAAATCACTGTTTCCTCCTTTATTCCCGGGCTTACTAACGAGGGCTGTTCGGTCATCTGTTTCTACCTATTTCAGGAAGACAATAACACTGTATGTGAGAAAAATGAGAACAAGGACTTTACATATAGTCTATTCCAGATTAAAAAAAAAAAGTCATAGACTCAGATTTGTAGAGGTATTTTGATAACTAAATCCCATTTTTTTCGGTGAGAAATCAAAGGGATGTTTGGCATCTAATTCCTGTATAAGTCTGACCCATAATCTTCTGTAATTAAATCTTCTCTGAAAAAAAGAAGTGAAAGGACAGAAATGTATATAAACACAGAGGTTGGCTGTTAAACAAGGCGCTTTTTAGTCATGTTCCAAAGGCAGAAATGTGAACCAAGTATTTTTGAAAATATTTTGGCTAGTCAGTAAAAATAGGCCTCTGAATCAGGGGAATGAAATAAATTTCAAGAGTTACTAGTAAAATATGCCAACATCTCAAGATGCTCTAATTCAAAGTTTTGTCCAGTATTTTAAATATTTCTCTGTCATCCAATAGTTTAGTTCATTATGAATAGTTAAAGACACTATAAAATTGGCTAGTCCTGGAAAGTTTCTGTGGGAAGGTCTGGTACAAACCAATGTTCAAAGCACAATCTGTAGACAGCAGCTTCAAAAAATAAAGTTCTTATCTTCAGAAAGCATTTCTTCATAAGCATGCAGTGGCCCTCTCATCAGATCACCACTCTGCTGTCAGAGAACATTTTAGAAACATTCCTTAGAATGCCAATATTTTAAATGAAGTTGTTTAATTCAAGAGGAACATGCATTTAATGAAGAATATGCCCACCTGTGTTCTACAAAAGCAAAACATTATGTACTTACCAAGAAAATAAAACCACTATTTCAGGGATGCAGGAGCCTATTTAACATATATAGCAGGTAGTACAAACTCAGATGCTTGTCACTAACACTCCTGGAAAAAAAATTAAATGACTGATAAATCTAAGTCACCTGTAGATAGTGGTATAAGCCGACAAGCATAGGAGTGTCTCAAGGAGGGCTACATATTTAAGCGGAACCTTTAAGCCTTAAGCAGTACTAACATCAGAAGAGTAATACTGGCTCAGATCAAAAGCCAGTATTGCCTGGTATCCCATTTCTGAAAGTGGCCATGGAAGGCGCCTATGGAAGGGTGTAAGTACATGAAAAATAGATAGTTAGCAAATAACTTTCCTGTCCCAGCTTTCGTCAGTTTTGCATGTCCCAAGCTTCTCAAATCAGGTATGTTCTTGGTGTATCACATCCCTTAACAGATTGCTCCTTGAATTTGCCCTTTTTCGAAGCCATATGTATTTTTTAGTATCTGCGATATCATGTGGCAATGAATGCCACATCTTAATTATATATCACATGAAAAGATAGGTACTCTTCTTTGATCTGCATCTACCATTAAGTTTTTCCACTTGTCCCAAAAATTTTCCTATCATCACAGACAAACCAACCGCTGTTTCCTACTTATCTTCTCCATATCACACGCAGTTTTACAGGCAATATTCTCCTTCAGCTGTTTCTCATCTAGACTTACAAGCAGTACATTTTATTTCGCCGATTTGAGCAGCAGAAACATCACTGCCATTATCTCCTAAAATTTTATGCTCTCTGCTACTTACAGCACAGTACATATGAAATTGCATGGAACTACAACAGTCCAGTTCTCTCTTTTCAGCTGTTACTAAGAAAATGAACACAACGTGCATCGTACAGCTCAAAGACTCTGTCACGAACCCTGGTCCCTTCCCCACTTGGAAGAGACACATTTGAATTGGCGAAAAGGACAAGAAAGAGTGACAGAGATTGTGACATGGGTGAAACGGCTCCTGTGTGAAGACTGGCGCTCTGGAAGGTGCACTTGGACTGCGGACAGGGCAGGGAATGCCTGTTGGGAGGCGTGCTGGTGAGCCATAAAACAAGGAAGGCTGTGGAAGACATGAATGGGATGCGTTTGCCTCTCGTGGGGTCCTCTCCCAGGGACCGGCTGCCGGCCATGAGACGGTCAGGGCCACCGACCAGCACATCCATAGCGGTGGGCCCACCAGGAGATAGGCTGCTCTAGGTCCGCTCCTCAAGCAAGACTGAATTTTAGCTGTGCCAAGCAGCCATGCTTCCCTACCTCACAAGAACAAGGCCCTCAGACTGTATTTTTTTCCCTGCATGGTACCTGTTAAGGCCTTCTTCCTCATACAAATTAGAGGGAAACTGAGCAGAGATGAGAAAGCCATAACTACTGTGAGCTCGCCAGCACAGCCGGGGAGTCGGGCTGAAGCGCTGACCACAAAGGTCTTAAAAAGAGCTATAAAGCCCACCAAAACCGGCCGCGGTGCCCCTCAAACGCTCACACCCGCAATCCCG